CGCGAACCTGAAGCTGATCGGCTCTCTCGACCTGGGAGCAGCAGAGAGTGTCGCTCTGCGTAAATTGCCCATTGCTGTGACATGCGAGAGGTCGCGAAAATCGGCCGCTGCACGGGGCAGTCAAGTGGCGAGACTTCTAACCTTCACACTTGCCGCTCGGTTGGCAGCGAACAGTGCCTTTGCTCATTGCACTGCTGCTTGCTGGCTCGTAGTCAGCTGAGAGGCCACAAGTGGCTGCTGGCCTTTGCTCTGCTCATATAGGACTCGAAGTCCTGCGTGTTTCATCCAGCTTCGCTGGTGCAGTTGGCCCTTCTCTGAACATCCTAGTTTCTAGTGGTTACTGGCCTCTGTGCTATTCCCGTAGCGCGCCGTAGCGCGACGGGTTGTTGGCCTCTGCGCCGCTTACATTGGACTCGTAGTCCACCATGATTGTTCATGCTCATCCTCGCACAGATCGGGCCCCCGGGCTCCTCGTTTGTGATTGATTACGTGTTTTTGTCATGCGCATGGTCATGCAGTCGGGGTTCCGTTGGCCCTTCGCTTGTGGGTGATAGCTAGAGTGGACGTTCCAAGTGCCTGCTCTCCTCTGCATTAGCAGATTGGGCCCCTTTGGCTCATCATTTGTGTTTGGTTATGTGATGCCGGTCCCGTTGACCCTCATGCCGATAGGATCCCGTTGGCCCTTCGCTCGTTAGTTGTGGCCCCTGTCCTGGCAGAGAGCGAAGAAAAGTCTACAAGCTTCGCAGGGTTGCGAAAGTGAGGAGTGCAGAAGAATCTTAAAACTTTTGCAGCTTCTGTGGAGTTGGAGAACCTCCATGCAGGGTTGCAAAAGGACCGGATAGTGCGCGCTGTTACTTGCGAACAGCCATAGCAGAGAGTGAGGACAGGTCTCAAAGCTTGAGGCATCTGCGCGATTGCAGATTTCTCGGACGCAAGAGGATTTGTAGTCCTGGCAGTGTGCGCTCCTACTCCAAGCCATCAGCGAACAGGACTCGTAGTCCTGGCAGGGAGTGAGGACCAGTCTCAAAACGTTTTGCGCAGTGACAAGGAGTCGCAGGCATACCCTACCAGTGCTAAGCCACCATCGTCCTGGCAAAGAGTGAGGACACGTTTGAAAACTTTGAGGCGCCTGCGCAAACTAAGAGTTGCAGAATTGTCAAGGTTGCGATAGGACTTGGTCCTAACAGTGTGCGCTCCTACTCCAATCCCTCAGCGAATTATACGACCAGGACTCGTAGCCCTGGCAGGGAGTGAGGACTAGTCTCAAACCTTTTGAGGCATCTGCGCAGTGATGCAGATCCTCCGCGGTTGTTGGGACGCGTCGTCCTACCGGCGCGCGTCCAAGCTGCCACACTCAAATATTGCCGTAGCTTCGAGTCGGGGCTGTTTCGAGCTCTTGTCCATGGGAGCTGAAATTCAGGCCTTGCCACGTAAGCCTGTGGAACGGGCGCTTGGCCTGAGACCGTCGTGCGAAGTTGCATGGGGGAGTTCGTCGTACGATTCCAAGGGGGTCTTCCCCTCGCATGACGAACGGATGCAACAGGTCTCGTGTTGTGCCAGTGGCATTAACTGGACGCAGTCGGACTTCACCCCCCATGCTTCGAGCAAAAAGGGGAAAAGCCTGGTTCTTCGCCTTGCCCTGTCCACCCCCCCCCCCTCCAGCACCCACAAATGTGCAAGTCGTGCGACTGGCGCGAGTCTCGCTGACAGGTGCGGACTGTGCAGCAGGAATACCTCTTGTGGCTTCTCTTCCAACCAAGCTTTTTGCAATCACTCAAGCTGATGTTGACGATGTCGAGCTCGATGGTTTTTGCCACGCCCATCCTCAAGGCCCGTACGATGGTGCTGCCGCAAACATGTTACCAGAGCCGACCCCGGCCCTCAACATGCGCCCGCAGGAGCTGCAGCGCATGAAGATGGGCAGCCTACGCCTGCTCAACAGGTTGGCCTCCATGACAGCAGACGTGGATAAACCGCTGGCTAAGAAACTGGCGCAAGTGTTCCCATACAGGTTTCGAGCCTATTCCAAGCAGCCGCCAAACGCCGAAGCCCAGCCAGGGCTACTGCCACAACTCATAGAAGAGAAGAGCGCTCGAGGTTGGGTCGTAGAGGTGGCCGGAGGAGAAAGTAAGACCAGACAAAGGAATTGCAATCGGCAAGCTGAATGTCGTGCAGGCACGACTGGTGTTGAATAGCTCCATTTGGAATGTAAACCCCAGATGCACACTGCTCCGCTGACGTCAGCACGTTCAAGCGCAAAGACCCAAGAAACACTGCCAAGGGTGCCACCCAAGGCCGAACACAAACGTGTCAGGGTACGCTCCGGCCAAGGCCTATTGCTTTTCAAAATCGCAGGCCGCGCTTGTGGTTTGCCACTTCGGGGCTCACTTGTCAGCCTACTGGTGGCAGAGAGTGGGGGCACTCCTGCTTCGTCTTGCGCAAAGTCCTGTCGAGAGAAACCCGTAAAGCCTGGCTTTATGTTGACGACCCGCTACAAGCCCTTTTGCGAGCCAGAGCCCCGGAACAACTGGCCCTCGTGGTTGCCTATCTCACATTAGTGGAGCGCCCATCAGCTGGAAGAAAGCATCTTTCAGCACGAGATCCGAAACCAGTTCCAAGCACAACTTTTGGGTTGCAAATTTTCGAAACTAGCCTGGCAAGATGTGTTGTCACACAGCTTCGAAAATAGCTCGAAGGCCTTGCGAGATTGTCGCAAAGGAAACTAGCTCCAAGGCTGGCAAAGAGTTTTGGCGCACAAACAGCAAAACCAAGCCGGAGCCCAGCAGAAATGCTGCCAGAAACCAAGGAGAGATCCGTTGGGGGCCCAGCGCAAATGCTGCAAACAACCAAGGGGGTTTACAAGAAGCCCAGAGAAATACCCACTTCCACACCCATTGCGTATTAAGGCGTTTTCGCGAAGCGACAAAGTTGTCTTTTTGTTTTCATAGCAGCCGCCTAAGCTGAGCAATGATTTCCAAAATCTTTCCAAACTTGATTTTGAACTTTGACTTCCATTTTCTCTTGTATGTGTTTGAGGACAGACACAAGAGTGGGTTTACCGGTGATTTGTAGACTGATGCCGGGAACCGGGGTGATCCTGAAAATTTCCGGGTTTTTTGGAAATCCCCGGAACCCCTGCAAGGCCCCACAGAGGGGACTGACAATAGTATGCCACGCTGTTCTTTCAGCGTGGCTCGTTTCGCACACATTGCATGGCAGTCCATGATCTACGCAGACATGGACAAAGCTAGTGCTGAGCCATGCCAGAGCAGTGGGGGTGTCTCTTGATGCTGCTCTCACAGCAGCTCAGGTTTCGAGTGTTTTCAGCAAGATGCATATTTACAGCAGGACGGTGCGTGTACAGGCTTCCGAAGGGGCCAAGTTCTTGTGTGGCCGACAAATAGCCCGCAATTTTGGCGAGTTGGATCAGAATGTTCCTTGCACTTTTTCGTTTCCTTTTGCTCGCCTGTCGGGTGCTCGGATTTCATCCACGCTTAGCCAAGCTGCACGCAAGTGCCTTGAAGGCTGCACGACTATCAAGTGATGACATGTTGCCTCAGGACAAAAGCTGCGTGGAACACAAGGCAGAGCTGCGTGTGGCGTGAAAATTGCATAAAATTTGCAGAATGCTACCCTGAAGCTCAAAGTTGCAGAAAGCTGCTGAGCTCGAGAATGTTGACCAAATACTGCACCCACGCCGGCCAAGGGCGGACCTGCGTCGCCAGGCTCAGTCCCGATTACCGCCTCGTAGACGACGAGCAGACCGGACACTGTCGTAGTACAGCTTAGCGCGGCTGGGGGAGTACCCCGGTTACCGCGGGCAGCAAAGACTTGATTTGCATGATGTCTAAGGCTCTAAGGACATAAAAATAGCAGTCCAGGAACTACAGGCAAGCTCAATTTTCAGAGGAGGCTTTAGCTAAGATGGCGGACACTTTCGGTTCCTTAGCGTGCATCGGCCCTTTGTCGGCCGGGAACAGTGATGAAGGCCCTTTGGTTGCTACCCTGAAGCGTGCCTTGGGGCAGGCGCCCAGCGACCAAGTGCTATGCATTGCTCGAAGACTTTGGTTTGAGAGCACCTTGCTGAAGTCGAGCGTTCGCATGCCTCTCGCTGAGCGCACCCAACGCATCAGTGAGTTGCAGAAACGCCTGGTCGGCATCCATTGGAGCGCTGACGTTGAGCCCTCGCGCAAGCTTCAAGACTTGGTTGCACAAATGGTTGCCGATCAATCCCTGCTCTGGCTGCCATGGGAGCGCTGACCAGTCGGGCTCTTGAGATCATCGATTCTGCTGGGAACTTGAAGTTGCTCCGCCGTTCCAGTGACCCCAGCTGCAGCGCGTTAGGGGAGTACGCTGCAGCGCGCTAGGGGAGTACGTTATCAAGTTGGCGCTGCAACGCCGCAGCCTTGCCTTCGAGTTGGGACGGATCTGCCGCTATCCGTGAGGCCGACAAAATGCTGTGGACCCGCGTCGCTGAGGACGCCAGAGGAGCTTTGTCCATTCGACCCGATGGCTCCTACCCTTTTGAGGCTTCGCTCGCCAAGTGGAAGGATCACACACAGGTGCAGTGCTACCTCATCAGCAGACTGCCGACTGCCCCGGGGCCCGGCCCCAAGAACCCGGATCCAGATCTTCCCCTTCAGCCCACAACCTAACAAGCCTGTGCGCAAGGACCGTGATCTTGCTCGCAAGCCTCGCACTATTGGGCCCCGCCCGGTATAGAACTGTTTGGAGGGGTAGCGTGTCGGGTGGGATCTAGGGGGGGAACATCGGATGGGTTCACTGAGCGCCACGCTTAGTTTTGAAAGGGGAAAAATGGTTTTCTCCATTTTGTCAGTATTTGTGCTTGGCATGAATCTGTCCCTTTTCATGCGCTTCATGTTGTCAGCTCCATGAGATTTCAGTTTTCAGCTTTGTTGTGTTGAGTCGGGCGGCCCAAATTTTTAGTTAGTAGGTTCGTTTTTCCTCTCCGGAGAGGACTTAGGATAGTTAGCACAGCAATGGAATGGCCCGCTTTGCAGGGCCAGGAATTGCAAAAGCTAAAAGGAGCTTTCGCTACTCCACAGCAGTTGGAGGCAGCTTTTGACACAGACGCAGAAGCAGCAGAGCTGGTCGAAGTTTTCTTGCCAGGCATAAGTACAGAAGGACGACGAGAGCGCGCTCAACTTCTTGTGGACTGGGCCGGGAGACAGGGACAGCTCGTTAAACGTCTGAGGAGAGAGTCGTTCCAGGGACTTTGGGAGACCTTACCGGTGCGTAGTGTACACTCTGATGTCAGCAAGGAATTTGATGAGTTGGCTAGACAGAATCCACTGTCTCTTTTGCCTGGTTTGGAGCGCAGACGCAGAGCAGCAAGGACAAATCTGGATTCCGCTAAGAGAGCGCAACAGGAGAGTGATGAGCGTGAGAAATACACATTGCTGCTGGCAGATGTGATACGGCAAGCCAAGTTGCCAGTGGTGGCGCAGTTGGATGCTGTCAACGATGACGGGAGGTCCTGGAAGCGCATCTTTGGGACGAGACGTAGCAAAACGCTGCGTAATCGGTTTCGTTCTTGGAGGGCCTTTTCACGTTGGCTGGAGACATCATATCATAAGGTTTGGCCATCAAGCATTGTTCCGTTGCTGGAGTATGCAGATGAGAAATACAATGACGACTGTGGGAAAACAGTTTTACCCAGCTTTCAAGCAGCATTGTCTGTGTTGGAACAGGCCGGGAGGGTACCGGAAGCCGAGATGCTCTCGCGAGACCCTACCTGGTTGGCGCAGCTAGCATCCTACACTGCAGATCTGGAGGCAGCGCAGCCCGAGCGTAAGCAGGCCCCGCTGTTTACTGTGGCCATCGTTGTCGCACTAGAACTGTATGTCTGCCTTGAGAGCGAACCTGAATATGCGCGTGCTCTGGGCTGGGTCGTATTGTTAATGGTGTATGCCTCGCTGCGGGCCGATGATGTTCAAGCCATTCGGCCGGAGACGATGGAGATCACTGGTTCTGGCTTCAAGGCAAAGCTGGGACGCACACAGACGACTGGTCCGGATAGACGATGCAAAGAAGTATACATCTTCGTGAAGCGTGATGTTGGACTTTCAGGACAGGATTGGTTAGTGACTGGTTTTGAGCTGTGGGAAAAGTACAAGCAACCACGTGATTTTCTGGTCTTGGAAGCAAATGGAGATTGGACGGCGCCGACCAACAAGGGTGTTGACAGTTCTGGTGTGGCTCTTGACATGAAGTCAGTCCTTAGCAGATTGGGAACACCCAAGCGGATCAGTGGGAGTTACAGGCTCAACGAGCATCGAAGTCTGCTTCCTGATGGAGCCTACAGGATGTACACTGGACACTCACCTAGAAACTTTCTGGCTTCCGTGGCGGCAGCTATAGGTGTTCGAAAGGAAGACATCGATTACCTTGGGCGTTGGCTCATAAGCAGGCTCTCTGGCGCTGGCGACTACATTCGAACATCAAGGGAAGTGGTACACCGTGTGCAAGAGACTGTGTGTCGAGCTTTGCTAGAGGGTGTTGGCGGGCAATACCACGAGGACGAGGCCCTGTCGATGCTCAAGAGCTATGTGGACGGCTTGGGCACGTCTGGCAGCTTGGCTCGCAGGCAGCACGACATCTTGCGTCGCGGCGATGGCCAGCGTCACTTGGGGTTGAAGTGGCCCGCCTTTACACCTGCGTTGGAGGATCCGGACAGTTCAGCAGAAGATCTGGAGGAAGCTCCGGTGTTTTCGGCGTCCAAGTATTTTATCACTACCAGCTCCAAAACGGGGCTACGTCGGCTGCACCTCAATGGTCCTTGCCATGTCAAACATTACCACTGCTCCTCGGTGGTTTTTGTGGACCAGGTCAACCTGGGAAGCTGGACAGGAGGCTGTCGAGGACTCTTCAAGCCAGTCGAGTGAGTCTAGCAGCTGACCGGCCGTCTTAGGTAGGTTTGTTGGGTTCAGTGGGAACTTGATATTTTCTCTCTTGATAGGGTGTCTTTTCAGGATTTCAAGACCCTTGTGTACAGTGCAACCTCAGAGCTTCCATGCAAATCAGTCGAGGCGCGTTGCACGTGTTTCCACACTCAGATGGAGGTACCGTTTCTATGATACGCGCGCGCGCATCATGAAATTTGCAGTCATGAGTCCTTCCGCAAGCTCATCGCAAGTTGCATGGTCGATTGCTCCAAGCTCAGATTGGTTGCATGCTGTACATGTCTAGCTAATAGTGGATGCATGGCTTGGAGTCTTGTTTTCATACAAAGAGCCTTGCTTTGCAGTTTTGAGCTAGAAACTTCAGATCTTGTGCTTGGTTAGTTGTGAAAGAGATACACATCAGAGCCATTGAACGCCCGCGGCGCCAATTAGTGCCTTCACTTCAGCTTTCTCAGGGCCCTACTCAGTCAGAAGGGCGCAAGGCCCGTGTCAGAGGCGCGCAAAGCGCTTTTCAGATTCAGTCAGTGACCTGTCAGAGCATCCACGATGGCTGCCGCTCCTACACAGGCGGAAATGCTGGCGCTGGTAGCAACAGCTGACTCAGATCTTCAGTATGTACTTCAGGAAGCAGCAGCCCCCCTCCGGGTGCAGTATCAGGTGGTTCAGGTGCATACCACCCGCAGGCGTTTCCAGGCAATTGCTGATACGAGGGCGGAAGCTCGCACTGCTGCTCGTGACTTCAACCTTGACCACAATTCCGCTGAAGGCCGTGCTCAGATCGCATCGGTGGTTGCTGCTTGGGAGTTGGCCAAAGAGTTTTCGGCTAAGGAGGTTGAGCTGAAGGCGGAAGCAAAGGTCATGGGCCATAAGAAGGTTCTCCAAGTTCAGGAGCGACAGGCTATGCTTCGTGCAGTCACCACCGTGTATGGCAAGCTGAATGAGGCGGAGACGCCCACTCCAGAGTATCTAGCATCCAAGGCCGAGGAGTGCGAGGAAAACGAGCCGACTGCTTCCTCGCTAGATCAGATCAGCTCCAAGAAAGACAAACAGGTGGAGTCGCTGCAGTCCAGTGTGGATTCCAGCGGTCATCTTCGTGTCACCAAGACGATACAGAAGCTGGAGATGCCACACAATTCTGAGGCCTACGTATTGTGTGTTTTACTCACATGTGTTTTTACAAAATTCTTGTTTTAGCCGAAGAGTGTTGATGTTGATTGCATGTTTAGCCACTCCAGCTCAGCGACATCGGCAGATCATGTGGGATCAGCTTTTGCACTTGCGTGGCATAGGACAACACGCAGACATGTTTGTTTCAGGTTCATGTCCCACTTGCGGTTAGCGTATCTTAGGTGTTTCTGGCACTAGGCCAGTGTGCACGGCGATTGTGAGCGATCGCCAGATGGATGTTCCGCCAGAAGGGGACCGCCCCAGTCCCTTGCCCAGCTCGTCTAGCACCGGCGCCTTGAGCTTCCTGGCTCGTGACCAACTTCTGGTGCGCTCAGGGATCAGGGTTCTGCTTCGTTGGTGTTCATCCCTTAGTGCCAGGGTGTCGGGGTTGGAGTGGCATCTTTTGTTTCGAGACCCATGGCTTCATATCCAGTTCATGATTTCAGCAAGGCACACAGCCCGGAGGCGCAACCCGGAGTGTCCGCTTCAGTCCCTCCATGTACCCTTGCCACAAGCCCAGAAGCTTCGGGAAGTGTTCCTCCCATTCGGGGCTTCCGCCTGCGTTGGGCTGCACTTGGGGGCAACCGTGGGGCCGCAGCATCTCCATCCCATGATCCAGCGCCCGTTCCGGGCAGTCAGGATTCCCAGGCCCTGGTGGAGCAGCTAGAGGACCATGCAGTTGAGGCTTCCGGAGGCAGCAGTGTTCCATGCATCCCACCCTTGCCAGTGTTGTCCCAACTGGGGAGCTCGGATCACGTTTTGCGCTCAGTGTGTGTGGGGGCCGCAAGCCCTTCAGCAACTTTAGTTTCTAAGCATCATGAAAAGCCCACGTCTTGCTCTACTGCTCCAGGTCCTAAAGTTCGGATTGCCGCACAACATAGATTGGTTGCATGTGACCATAGCAAAGTGCGTCCCTTCGTGCAAGCACGTTCCCGCTCGCCATGCCCTCTGCAAGCCCCTACTGCCGCGTCCCCCCCTGTGCCCAGGTCCCACTCAACACGCGCCTCGAGCCCGCCCCTGCAGCGGCCAGAGATTCATCGTGCAAGTTTTTATGCCAAGTGTCGTTCTGGCCTTCCAAAAGCACAGGGCTCAGCAGCAGGTTGCTTGTTGCAGGCTTTTCCCAAGCAGCCTCCTCGCGGGGATCCCCCTAGGATGCACATCCCTGTCCCTAAGCAGGTCTCAGGCATGCAGCTTAGACCTCCCCGGGCCCCACCGCCCCGGGATGTTAAAGCGGCTGTGGACAAGGCAATTCCTGCTTCTGCTTTGTCGCTGTGGCATGAACTGTGTGAGGCACTGATGCTGGTGTCCCCCGTTTTGCAGCAATGTGCTCAGTGTTCTTCCCCTTCCGAGGCAACTGCTAAGCTTCTTAGTTTGGTGGCACCGTCCACAGCGGCACGGTACTTGCAGTCATTTGTGCGTTTGCAGAAGGCGCTTGAGGAGTTGGGCGTTCCATGTGTTACACAAGTGGAGCCGCATCACGTCCTGGATGCTCTATTCATACTGGATAGGTCTAAGTCGGATGCCTTGTCGTGCGTTCCAAATGTGCTCAAAGCTGCCCGTTGGGTCTTCAAAATTTTGGATCTGGATGTGAGCAGTTTGTACTGCCCGTTGATTCGGGCTCTTGAAGTCCGGCCTATACGTGACAGGCGGGAAGCTGTGCCTCTCTTGCTGGCGATGGTTGTGGCTCTAGAACGCATCGCAATGAACACATCAGAAGATGGAGCGCTCCGCATCTTCACGGGCAGTGTTCTTGTCCTGCTGTGGGCATCATTGCGCTTTTCTGATGGGCAGCATGTTCAGTGGGATACCATTTTGTGGGACGTGGCATCTCTGCGCTTCGTTGCAGAAGCTACAAAGACCACACGTGGTGGCATGCCAGCAGGTTGCTTAGTGGCCGGTCTGTTGGGCGACTTCGATGCAACATCATGGTGTGCGCACTGGCTGTACTTAATGGGCTGTTGTTGGGATGAAATGCGTAGGGCTGGCATCATCACCAAGCCAATGGGTCTTTTCTTCACGTGGTCAGGCTCGGAGTTCGCGCCTCTGTCTTATGCCCAAGCCCTGCGTTTGCTGCGCCAAGTTTTGCTGCAGTCCGGGTTTGATGCTACGTCAGTCCAAAGCGTTACCCTACACTCCGCAAAGGTCACCCTTTTAGCCTGGTCTCATGAGATCGGCGTCTGCGAGGAGTGGCGTCGGGTTCAGGGCCACCACAAAGGGGGGCCAGGCGCTTCTATGCCTCAACTGTATTCACGGAACGACGTGATAACACAGCTGCGCCTGCAAACAGTAGTTCGCCAGCAATTGCTGCAGGGTTGGCGGCCTATGACAGTTCAGGCCCGCGGGGCGCGCCCACCGTTGCTGCAGCCGGGTGTTTCGCTTTCGTCAGTGGGCATGTTGCCAGCTCCGGAGCATTCATACTTTCAGCGTTTTCCAGGTGGCGATTCTCTCCCGCACTCAGACGGGGGGGCCCCTGCCGGCATCCTTGCTTTGGCGCCGGCCCAGCAGGCCGAGGCAGCCTTTTCCCCATGCACTGAGATGGAGCCCCCGGTGTGTGTGGGTGAACGTGCAGAGCCCTTGCCCGAAGAACAGCGTCTCGAGTTACTACAGCGGGAGGCAGGGTCCGTATCCCCCCCCGATAGCGTGGCAGTGGATGCGTTCATGCAGGAGTCATCGGATGAGGAGGTGGCAGATGCACCCGATTTAGGGGCAGCAGACGAGTTCACACTGCTCCGAGCATCTTCCGGTGTGTTACATGTGGCCCATGCACTGGAGCAGGGGAAGACAGCTTGTGGGGTAGTCTCAGGTCTCTTGGAGCCGGTGTTGGAGCCGGGCGTAGGGGGGCGTTGGTGCCGCCGTAGTGCATGCATGCGCTTGCGCATGCAGTTTTGAGACGTTGCTTGCAGCTAAAAGTGCGAGAGGGCTCCTGGTGGCCACTGTTGCAGTGTGAGTCTTGTCCAATCAGTGCTTCTCACAAGATGTTGCAGTGTTGGCGCTGCCCCCCCCCCCCCCTCCTCCCATACTCGAAATCACCTTCTTCACTGTTCTGTAGCAGAGTGCTGGTGAGGGGTTGCGTTCTTGCTTCGGAGATCATGCAGCGCATCAGCATGACGCCGTGATGCAGTCGCAAAGAGGGGGTTGAAGGGTTGGGGGCCCGGAGGGCGAGACTTCAGAATCAGCGGGTCGCCCTGTACCGCTGACCGTAGTGTACGCTTTCGCGGGGCCCGAGCGCAGATGTGACATCGGTGCGTGTTTGAAGAAACTGATCCCTGATGTCCACGTGATGGAGTTTGACATTTTGCGAGATCCCCGCCAGGACCTCACCCAAGATGCTGTGTGGCAGGACATTTTCCGTTTGGTGCAGCGGCCCAATACTGTCTTCATCACCAGTCCACCTTGCAATACCTTTTCGCGTGCCCGTCATAAGACCCCTGGCCCTAAGCCCCTAAGGAGCCATGTTTGGCCTCGCGGTTTTCCTTGGCTGTCATCAGCGCTTGCTGCAGAAGTACAGGCAGCTAACTACATGATAGATCAAAGTCTTAAAGCTTCACAACTAGCAGCGGAGGCGGGCAATTGCCCACATGGCCGTCATGATTCCTTGGTGGGTAAGGATCCCGTCAGCCACCAGTGGCGGACCGCAGCCGCCGCAGCTTACCCTCCGAAACTTTGTCAGTTCCTGGCTCAGGCAATAGCCAGCTCGCAGAGCTCAGGCTCTGACGGGGTTCACACCTCGCTGGCTACAGCTGGGCTGATCACACCTTCCCCTAAGTACACGTCCCCTGCACCCCCCAGACCAGGGACGCTCTAACACCTTCCCCTAAGTGCACGTCCCCTGCACCCCCTGAAGCAACAGCTCAGGGCAGGGACACTCTAACCCTTTAGACTTAGGGTTTAGTACCGCCTCTGGGTCCAGGTCCCTTGCGCCCCGTGCAACAGCTCAGGGCAGCGACGCCGTGGCCCCTTCTGCCTCAGGGTTTAGGGCTTCTTCTGGGTCCTCGATAGGAAGTTCCCCGACCCCACCTGCTGGGCAAGTGTCCATGTCTTCCGGGACTACCGCACCACTTCCGAGCGAAGACGCCGAGGCTTTCGCCGCTCGTTTGTTGGCAAAGGAGGGCCTGATGACGAAAGACGAGCTGCGAGCACTACATCAGCTTCTCCCCAAGGAGCGTGCTGTGCGTGTGGGGGAGGACGTGGAGTCGGCCTCTTCATTCACGGTGGGGGCATACTAAAGGGGGCTTGGTCGGTTTAAGGCGTTGCGCTGACGGTATGCCATGCACATCACAGGTCCTTACCCGGTATGTTCGTCAGATCAGCCCAAAGCTTAGCTTCTCCGCTGTGTCTCTTTTCCATGGGATACGCACGCCCATGCGCAGAGATTCACGCAATGCTCATTTCCGAACATGGTGGCACCTATCACCTCTTTCAAGGGAGGCCAGATCTGGGTAGGGGACTGTCATGGATCGGTGCCAGAGATGACCCCTGATGGTCTCAAGGTTGGCAAAGACCTGGAGGTGGCAAAAGGGCCCGTCATCTTCGATGCCTACAAAGCTTTCCACTTCACCCGCGCGTGGGAGGGCGAGCGCCTGGTGGTGGTGGCTTACGTCACTGACCACTTGGACACCCTGAAAGACGGTGAGAAGCAGGTTTTGGAGCGGCAAGGCTTTCAGTTGCCTGCGCAGGAAGCTGAGACTTCGGAGGCCATTGGACTAGAGTTTGGGGCGCCCCATGGTAGCGCGCCACCGGGAGCTGAACCAGCCTTTAAGCCTGAGCTATGCGGGAACCGTGGACTTCCACTACAAGCAGAGTGGGAGGGCAAGCAGGAGCCACTCAATGACGGTTTCGGTTTGTGCTCACCTACACGCTGGCGACCGGCGGATAGGGGGGCCACTCTTTCACCGTCAAGCATGGCGCTCTGCCGAGATATGTACCAGATGTGCATGGAGTTCGTGGGGCGAAATGTCAGCTCTCCAAAAGAGCTTTGCGAAAAACTGGCCGCTGGAGAAGTCACGGAGACACCTTTCTGTGAAGAGGAGATGCAGCAGCTGCGAGAAAAGTGGTGCCGGCGAGTCGGTGGAGATGACTGGAAGCATTGTATGGAGATTCCCAAAGGACAGCCCTTTCTCTTGAAAGCGGTGGCCCGGACTGCAGAGGTGATGGGCGACCCCGACTGGGCCTCCATAACCGAGGGCACTGACAACTTCTGCACTGGGGTACCCATAGATTTTGGCGAGGCGCTGCCCAGGTTGCCCCAAGTCTTCGAGCCCAAGGCTAAGTGGAGGAAGTTCGATGAGGATCTCCCGGAATGGGACCGCTCCAACTACGCCAGTGCTTCCTTGAACTCCTAGAGAAGTTCCGGGCGGAGGTGGAGCTCGGTCGGATGGAAGCTTCGACGCATGGGGCGTTGAAGCAGCGCTATGGCGAGGAGAATCTACGCATAGCCTCCATGGGTGCAATCCAGAAACCTGATGGATCCGTGAGGCCGGTTCATGACGGTACCCACGGAGTACACGTAAATCAGGCCATACCTCAGCACAACCTTCTTTCAGTTCCGGGCCCTGGAGAGCTAGCCCTCCTGGTCAGACAATCTCAGGAGCAATTTGAGACACCCTTTGCTTTGGCGGGGGACGTGGCCGCCCACCGCTTGGTGCTGGTGCGCGAAAGAGACTGGGGACTCCTGGCATGCCGTGCAGAGGCTGGGAGCGACACCGTATTCGTGAACCGAGTTGGAACGTTTGGGATCTCATCTGCATCATTCTGGTGGGCCCGGCTTTTCGGCATTATAGGTAGGATGGTTGGGCGGGCCATGCTCAACCACTTCTTCTTTCAACTGGTTTTCGTAGACGACTTACACGCCAATTTCTTTGGACACCGGAAGTATGTCAACGCTCTGATCTGGCTGGTACTTTATCTTATGGCAGGAACACCTTTTGCCTGGAAAAAGTTTAAAGGCGGAGCCAGGATCGCCTTCATTGGCTATGAGCTGGACTACGCGGCCCGACTGGTGGGGCTCAGCAAAGTGCGAGGAGATTGGCTGGTCCAGTGGATTAAAAGTGCCAGGGAGTCGAAATACGTGGTTCAGACTAAGAAGTTCGCGGAGTTCTTAGGTAGATTGGGATTCGTTTCGAGGGTGGTTTACTGGTTGAAACCGCACTTGGCACCCCTTTATGCCTGGTCACCCTGGTCATCGGCCACACATCGATGCTCGGTCGGGAAGCTTCCTGACACGGTGATCTTGACTCTTCTCTACATCGAGGAAGCTCTCGTAGCCAAAGACTACAAAGTGTCCCCTACCAGGGTGGACCTACTTTTCTTCACCGATGCAAAATGTGAAGATGGCCTGGTTGTGCTTGGGGGCTGGGATGCAACATGTCCCTTGGGCAGGTCACGGTGGTTCTCGATTAAGGTGCGACCGCACGAGGCACCTTACTTGTTCGACGAGGAGCAGAAGTCACAGTGGGCATCGGCATCTGCGGAGCTCTTGGCAACTTTAGCTGCGTTATACTTGTTCGGACATTTGGGAGAATCCACCAGGGTACGGCAGCTCCCAGTCGTTTTTAGTGCTATCACTGACAACAAGGGCAACGAGTCTTTGTCCAAGAAGCAAAGCACAACGAAGTGGCCGCTCATGCTCATAAACATGCAGCTGTCACATTTGCTCGCTCTATCTCTTAACTGGCGTCCGCTGGGTGAAAATCAACTTGCGGATGACCTCACCAACTCCAGATTCAGCTCCTTCAATCCCGAATTCAGGTGCTTCAGCTCATTCAGTGACCTTCCTCTTGAGGTGCTCAGCAAGCTTTGGGAGACGAAGTCGCAGTTTGATGCTCTCAGACATTCCGCAAGTCAGCAAGTTGCGTTTCAGTCACTGTCGAAGAAACGGCCACACGAGCGCACGCCGTGGTGACGTCCACCGCAAGGGTGGATAGGGGGGCATTGGCGCACACAGCGTGCGTTCGATGACCGAGCCCGCCGGTTGAGACAAATCCGCCACTTGTTGAAAAAGAGAGATCAATAGAGATTCGCCACCTCGGGGTGTGGGAGGTTTCTGGAGGTTTCTGGGGATTTGATTTCTCGGGGTCTTGCGTTGGGAGGCGGGCTCTTGAGATCACTTATTCTTGGATGTCCTATTTATTCAGATGGATAGATTTGAGTTTCAGATTTGTGCCCCTGAAACTTCACTCTACAACGCTAGCCCGCAAAACAGCAACCAATCCGAGACTGGCGAAGGGGACAAGAAAAAGACCTGGACCGTGCCCTCCGGCTGCCACTCTCGGGAAAGCCGTTGTGTTTCTCCTTCAACTTACAGGGTTGCGCCTTCGCCAAGCCGGGAAAGAGGTGCCGACGAGGGTGCCATGTGTGCTGGAAGTGCCTGGAACCTCATCCGGCTTACGAGTGTCCGGAGTTTCAGTGATCGGCAACTGCGGCCACCGGCGTAGTGAATCCCGTCTTTCGGATGATGAGACCGGTGGCATCCGCTACGCTGCTGAACAGCTCGCCAGTTCGCTCCTCAGCCGAACTTGCATATCTCCAGATGACCTTTTGCATTTGAGCCTTGCTTTACCGTCGGAAGTCCCGGTGCGGGGAGTTGACATTTCCGGCAGCCGTTCTGTTAGTTTGGGTGCTTTCGCTTGCTCCAAGCTCCCGGGCTTGCTTGTTCGCGACACGAGCAAACAGCACCTCTCGCTTTGTCAGAGGACTTTGCCCTGACTTCACGTGCGCTACGATTGCAGTCTCACCAGGACACTGCGAATGACCCTGCAAGCCAAACCTCTTGTACCCTTTGAGGGAGGTGTCTGGTGTGACCGCCCTGCCATGGAAAGCTGGGCCGCCGATATGCCCTCCCGAACCCGATCCTTCTTGGAAGCCCTTGAGTTTCCCCTTCCGCCTGCCAC